CAGGTGCAAGAAGGGCGTGTCTTCGCGTCGCGGCACGCTGTATACGTGGTCGCGGTGCCCCGAGATTGACATCTGCCTAAGAAACAGCGTGATTATTGAAGGCGGCTGTGATCTGCCGCTATCTGAGTTAGCCGAAACATATGTTTCGATCGCGTTTGATGATATCGGGTGAGGTGCACGGCAGTAGCGCCGCAGCTGTGGTGCCGGGAGTAGTATTGTCGCCGCCTCGGACGAGGAGCGGCGGACACGCGTGTATCTTTTTGAGCATGTTTTCTGGCCTCACGATCGATCTGAGGCACCTTCTCCGGTCATCGGGGTGCATGTGTGCGCTGTCTGTAGACTGTGTGTTTTGTGTTATCCTTAGGGTGCACATAGGCTGTGAGCAGAATACCTCCCCTGACAGGTGGGGTTAGGATGCCCGTGAGCGGAGCCTGCGTTGCAGGGAACAGACGGCTGCTGCGGATCTTCGCTTCCAGCATCAAAAGCGCGCATGCAAAATAGCCCATAAAAGCGGCTGGTGCATATTGCGCGTTATCTTGTCTTTCTTGTCGCCTATTATACATATAAATGTTAGTTGATAAGCATCGGCGGAATCTGCGGAGGGCGAGTAAAGGTAAGAGCCCGACTCGCCCGGCCGTGGCAACGCGGGAGTTCCGGACGCCGATAAAGGTTTGAGCCTTTCATTGGAATGCCTGAGATGCCTTGTGCCTGAAAAGATTATCGAAAATAATCGATTTAAGGTGCCACACATATACATGAATTGATTATTGTCGTATTTCTGCCGGTTGCGTTGAGTCATTAACCGTGAAAGTGCAGAAGGGGATGTTAACTGTGGGTTCTGGTCTTCTAAGTAAGCGGGTCATAAAATATAGACAGAGATGATGTACGCCCCACTGTCGCTTCGCGGAAGTTGCCTCGCAACCTGGTCGGCCACTGATTAGATAAATATATAGAGGGCGAGCAATAGATTAAAGCCGAATTCATATAGAAAAGCACAACTTATACTGGGATCTGTACAGCGTGCTCGAAACGTGGTGGAGATCCATTTCGTGGTTGAAGTAATTCTCCTTGGTGGATATCTGGGCGCATTTGCAATACACAGATGAAATATTTATACTTGGAATACTAATAATTGTGTACAGGGCATGCCGGGCTTTCTTGTTGAAGCACCCGTAGCCCTCCGCTGGGATAGTTATTATTAAACGAATTTGATAGAAAGGGCGGTAATAATAAGGCCGGATTTCTATGTAACTGATACTAAATATATATACACACGTGTTTAGATTTTGTATGCGAGCCGAGAGATAAGTCGAGAGTTGTTATTTGCTAAACTTTAGACTGTCAATCGTGAGTTCGGTCATTTGAGAGGGCGGGTCATAATGCATGGGCAAAAAACAATAGAAAGCGGGCATTGGATCACATTGGATTAGTACCGAACTCACATGAAATAGTATAACTACTCTGAGATTCGTATAATGTGGTA